CTTCCTTTCTTCCTTTCTTCCTTCCTTTCTTCCTTCCTTCATTTCTTCCTTCCTTTCTTCGTCCATTCCTTTGTTCATTATTCTTTTTATTCATTCAGGTGGGATGTTATCAATCTTCTGTAAAGCATCAAAGCCCCCACCAGCACGGAAGCACTACCCTCCTCCTGTAGTACCAAGAGACTTCAAACCCTTCCACAACACTGAAGAAACCACCCAAGCCAAACAGCCCTTGTCAGGTCTCCCAGTAAACCAAGGACAGAAAACGCTGGAAGGAAACCAAACTAACAAACGTCTGACAGCTAAAGAGAGGGGGGAAGCTTTGGGAGAAGTTCCTCTTCCTACCCCAAAGAAATCAATTTTTGACTACATCGCCGAAGAAGATAAAACTCGCTTGAAAGAATCCAAGGAAAAGACGAACACTTCAAAAGAGCGCGCTAAAGTACTTGAAAATAATGACTTAAATACGAGGTTTACTTCAAGAGGTCCGCTCAGCACAAGTGGGTTTAAACCCTTTGCAAAGGAACCAGAAAAACAGGCTCGATATGAACAGTACTTGAGTGGGAAGAGTGATAAAGTTATCTGGTTACAGACAGACAGGTAAGATGGCAACAAGCGCCATGAGCACAGGATATGCGCGCTATATAAAATGATTAGTTATGCAGCTCAGTTGGCCATCCTTCCAAAGTTGGTTTGATTTAATTTTACCTTTTAACATGTTGATGTCGAAAAAACTGTAAATGAATGTAGAAATTAGGAAAAAATTATTCTGTTGTTTGTTCTTCCTGGTAAAAGGAATATGTAATAGAGACCTTTAGAATCAGGTTTACCTCTACTGCTAGGGATCAGGTCCAGAAACACGCCCGCAAACACACAGAAACACTCAGCATCAATGAAATTCATTATGGCGGCTTTTCCAGCAACAACCTCTTTATGACGCCTTGCTAAATATCGAAAGTTTGACGGAAAACGCCTGACGTCAAACTGCAGTTTGAGGTTTGCGGTACCGAGCAAGAACGTCGGTCTAAAGGTCTCTAATGACTAAATTGGCCTCGGTGATCTTATGTGTCTGATGCACAACTTTTATTCTATCGCTTTTAATTTTTATAGATTTCGAGATTCTGTAACCGCCTCTTGCAGTGCTCTGCTCTTGAACACACAGTTTCGCTTCAAATAACATAAATGTTTTAATGAATTTTATTTTTCAGGAATTTATGTTTTCTTTTTGATTTCATAGTAAAAAGACTGAATGGGAACGAGAATGTGAACTGGAAGAATTCGCGCGAGCAGCCGCATTGTACCGTCCCCTCAGTCAAACAATGGCCGCTCGCTTCACATCAGCTAAAGATACCGACGAGAAAACAAATAAAGAGGAATCTGGAAAGAAAGACGAGTCTACTGCTGCTAAGATGAAAATGTTCGGCGCTTTGACGCGCGAGAGATTCGAATGGCACCCGGATAGAATATTATGCAAACGGTTTAACATACCTGATCCTTATCCTGGTTATGGAGTAACTGGAGTGGTGATGAATCAACGAGAGAAGGCTAAGACTGCTGAATCTGAGTCAGTCATTCGTGAGGTAAAGGCCATTGAATATAAACCTCATTCGAGTGAGCAAGACACTAACGAAGCCAAGAGTAGTGGACACCAAGATGAGATGGAGATGGTCCAGAAAACGTCTGCACTGGTGGCTGGTTTTCAGAGCATCGTATCACAACGAAAACAGCCTTCCTATCAAGATACCTCTGCGGGGTCTTCTAGTGAAAGGGCTGACAAAGAGGAACCGAACAAACACGACCCAAACACTGATGCCGATGTTATCAAGCGAGCGTCTATGGATCTTTTTAATGAGATCTTCGCTGAAAGCTCCTCGGAAAGTGAATCGGAAAGTGAGGAAAACGAGGAAGCAGAGCAGTCAAAATCTGTTGAATTGGATGTTAAAGATAATAAAGATAATGAAAAGACAGACGAGGGAGGCATTGAAACGAAAGATGTGACCCTAGTAAGTGATGTCCCAGTACCTGTTCCAGTAGAGGATACGCCACCTGAAACAATAGAAAGAGAAAAAGAGCCTTCTCCAGAAACGTTTGGTCCCGCATTACCATCGTCATTCGTTGGCGGCAACACTGCTAGTAGTTCCAAGGGATTTTATTTTTCCACTCCCGAAGATTCTTCCAGGAGACAAGACAAGCAACAATGCAAGAAGAAAAAGAAGCAAAAGAGTAAAGAAATGGGTAGCGATATCAGTGACAGCAATGATAGGTATAGTAGACGAAGAAAAGAGAAGAAAAAACGCTCGAAGAAGAAGGGAAGTGATTTGACTGATAGCGATGAAGAGTATAAAAGCAAGAAAAGAAAAAAGAAGACGAGGAAAGAAATAGATAGTGAATTGTCTGACAGCGACAAGAAAAACGCTAGAAAAAAGAAAAAGAAAACGAGTGCAAAATATAAGGAGAGTGATTTTTCTGACAGCGATAGTGAAGAATCACTTAGGAAAGAGAAAAAGAAGACAAGATCGAAGTATAGCGACAGCAATGACAAGTATGATAAAAGAAAGGAAAAAAAGCCGAAAGAGAAATACAATAGTGATGATGATTCGTGTAACGAGGAACGCTCTAAACATAGGAAAAAGAAACGAAAGGACAAAGAAAAATCAGGAAAGAAATATTCTGATAAAACAAAAAAATCCGATCGAGAAGAGTACGAAGAAATTCAATACGAACCTGAAAAATATGCGCAAAAGTTTGCGCTAAACACTGCGGTTGGAAAATCTTCTAAATCGTTTGATTCACCAGGGAGTAGTGGATATAGAAAATCAGATTATGACGGAAAGAGCAAAGACTCTAGAGAAGAAATATCGAAGAAAGATGCTAGAAACTCTAATGATGGCAGAACAGATAATAATTCCTCAAAGGAACAAGAAATCAGCAGAGTTCCTGATAGCAAAGAAATAATTAATAAGCTTAAAAACATTCAGATGTTAAAAGAAAAGAGACGAATGCTCGCGGCTGATTTTATGTGAACCGCATTTTCTATTACTCCCATGAACTAGGGTACCTTTTGGTGTCAGCGGTCACGCCTGGTTTTCCTTACGACGCAAAACATGTCAACAGAAAATGCAGGTAAATTTTTCGTTTTCACATGGTAATCGTCACGAAATCGCGAGGAAAAATGTATTTAATCTTGGTGGCGGAGCTGGCGTCGCTAATGAAAATCTGGGTTATCTGGAGCGAGGATTTGAACCACGGATTCAACATAGATAGATAGACGAACTAGATAGACGACTTTATTTAACGAGGGTTGCACTGAGTGTTCAAGGGAGCTAATGATCTTGTAGCCTCCTTTGGAGCCTCCACAAGGAGAAGGAAACGTTGCGTGACGACCCTAAGAACGGCTGCAAAGGAGGCTAATAATCTTGTGGCCCTCAACTGCTACTATTTTTTGATATCTTGCTCTTCCAACAATCCTTTTGTATTTATATATGGTTATTTTTGCACTGATATACTAGTAAGTCATACAACATGGGCGAATTGGCCAGGGTTAAGATTACCCAAGTTTTCTTTCTAGATTTCTTATAATTCCTTCTGTTCTTATTTTTCGATATGATAACATCAAAGCATGGATTGATTCAGTATCTGGACTGTTCCACACGGCTTTGCATTTTATCTGTACTTTACTCTATAAAAATGTGAACCCGCCCTTATGTACTTGGTAATACTGCATTCATTTCTCCAATAACCTTTTATCACGCCTCTCTTGTTATAAGACGGCTAGAAATACATGACTTAAATTACTTTTATTGAATCTGAAAAAATATTTACAGTCATGATTATAGCTGGAGGGAAGGGTTTGATACTAGTAAACAAATAATTACGTGGCATATTTTTTTAATAAACTACTGGAATCTTAAAAATTGATATATGGAAATATCAAAAGTGCAAAGAAAGAAATAAAAATAAATTAATTACAATGAAAAAATGTGAGTGTTTTGAGGTTGAAATTTGCAGAGCAATTGGGTAACAGTGAAAGCAATTAGAACTATTGTTACTATGACAACTGCTTCAGCTAAAACACATCATTGCAAACCTTCAATCTAGTCCAACATGCATGGCATGCAAATGCGATTGATTCACTTTTTAAAAAATCAGAGGTGTGGTAGAAGACTTCTAGTAGCCACATAAAGTTAAAAATTATGTAACACAATATATTGTCACACCATCCTTTTTGTCACATCTCATTTGTCACAGTCTCTCCATAGGTAGCCCAAACTCTGAAACTGAATTTGGGTCAGAAAATGTGCACATGCCTGAGACAAGAGGTAATATTGTCAACTTTCATTCAAGTATTTCTATCAAAATTATCTATTTAAAAAATCCTCCATACATTATCCTATAAACAACTAAGGTAATAACTATCATCCCAAGAGCTCTGTCATTCTAATTGTGCATGCTCGATGAAATGGCAGAGATTCTGGGAAACCCAGCGCGCGTTAGCCAGAAATGCCGTGGTGTAATGCGCTGAAACAGGACTTGGGCTACCTGTGGTCTACCCACAGGTCTACACAGTAGTAGTCACATGGCCTGCTCATTCTCCATCTTTTCCATGAGAGAAAGGAATAGAATTTTAGCGGAATATAACTTCTTAATTCCTTTTCAGCATGACTCAGTCGGCAAATACATTGCTATTCCTAACATTTTTGGGCGTTATTTGTTCATTTAAGGCAAGTGACGAAGGATGGTCTTACTATAAACCAAACGGTCCAGACACATGGTCCAGCAACTACCCTCAATGCGGAGGACCTCAACAATCTCCTGTCAATATTATACCAATTCAAGTGAAATACGATGGCATGGATGAACTGAAGATTCAATACCAGAATGATACAGCTTTGAACCTATCTTATAAGGGCAAAGCAATCCGTGGAGCTGTTTTGTCCGACGCGTTCGTAGTGACAGGTGCAGGTCTCGAGGCGAATTTTCGCTTGAAGGAGTTTCATTTTCACGTAGGATCTCAGAATTCTCGCGGATCTGAACACCAAATAAGCGGAAAGGCTTTCCCAATGGAGGTGCAATTAATACATTACGATATAATTGGACAATCAAGCCGAGCTTTAGTTTTATCGGTGCTTTTTACACTCCAAAATAAAGACAACCTAGCTCTGAATGGTATCATCAGTAGACTTCAAAACTGTAGCTGTAAAGGAGATAGCATTATTATCCCATCATTCTCGGTCAAATCTCTGCTCCCCAAGGATATCACGCAGTTTTACCGTTATTCTGGCTCCCTTACAACACCACAGTGCAACGACAGTGAATGGCTTTTGTTTCATGAAACAGCTCCCATCTCCGAGCGCCAGTTGAAAACTTTTCGAGAAGTTCACAGAGATTCACCTCAAAGCGAGAGCCCTGCTCATCTAGTTGATAATTTCAGACCTGTTCAACCTCTTAATAAAAGAATCGTCAAGAGGAATTTCGGTATGTCTCCTGCATTTTATTGAAAAAGATATACACAGATCGTTAATTATTGATGTTGTTCAATACCGACGCATTCAAAGACTGAGTTTTAAGGGCTGTTTACAAGCAGGGAAGCTAACTACTAATTAACTATTACTGCAGCAAATTTGTGGTCGTAGTGAAGCTGCACCATTTCTTACTGCCAGCCCTAATGACATGTATGGAAAAATGGAAAGCCATTTCGATGTGACAGCAAATTGCACTTAATTGTAAATGCCATAAGTATGTCATATCTAAGTTTCCCATTCACTTGATGCAAAAGACGGTCCCTTTCCCATGTTTAGTTTAATGAATCAAAGCCAATATTGCAGTGGTACTGTCTTTTTATATTTTCAACAGATCACCTGCAGTTTCATTGTGGGAAGAAGTCAGTCACAACTGCCGACTGCCGACAAACAGTCACTGGACATGATGTATTTTACGAGGTGGAAGTTCAACCATGTACCCTTCCTGTTTCAATCAACTTTAGGATAAGTGTTCCTGTTCTGGGATTTGAGTATTCTAAGACTTTATTTGAAGACCAGAGAATACCCATTCCAATAGGTATTTAGTATTCAATGGTTTATAAGTTAACATTAACTTATGCAGATGTACTGTATTTTCCTAATGAAAAGCTTCATTGGAAGCAAATGTCAGCTTTGGCATGCTTTCCCATTTAAGATGACATTCTCTTGAGTATTTTTTCTTTGTTTATCAGTAATGCTTGACAAGATGCATTAATATGGATTCAATTCATATAAAGAATTTACCCTTAAGGTCCACTTGGTTTGGAATTACCCCAATCTGAATATCTGAATGATTTTCATAACCCAACATGGTATGTCTTGAAAATGAAATTTGCTATTAACAACTCCATACTGTCTTTTTTAAAGCGAACCTGAATTATGGGGCTACTACTGAGATGCACTTTCATTCAAATGGTCCAAGGGCAGGCTATCTTCATGTTACAGTAAGTCAGCCTCAGGTTACAGTACTTCTAATCAGCTCTTATACATATATATCTTTGATCAGCATGTGCATACCACTGATTTATTGTTAGTGTTTAAATGTTATGATGATTATGAGGAGTGAGTGAGGAGTAAATGGTCTCCTTTGATTCTCTTGATAAAGTTTGAGGGGATTGGCATAACATGAGAGAGTGGTTATAAGAAGCATGATTATAGAAGCATGGCTCTACTGGAAGTCTACAGCATGCTCATACAATATCATGAGCAAATGATCATTTTTAAACCATTCCCCTCGCACACTTAACATTATTCCAACTTTTACTGAAGAAGGCTAAAGAACTAGCAGAAACGTCTACCAATTTTTAGTTTAAGTGAGAGACAAACCTTTTCATGATATAGAACAATGAATCTGAACTGCAATCAATCATTTTCAAGCATATCCCATAGCAGAATGCTTCTCAAACTTGAGTGTTCGGTCAATTCTCAAGTGCTTTAAGACTGCACATAGCACGGCAAGCAAGGTTTTTTATTTCTTTTATAAAATACAAATTCAAATTACTGTTATTTTGGATAGAAATAAGGCAAATAGAAAGCATGCACTTAAAACCCATAAGAACCTAATATTTGTAACTGTTATCTTATACTTTTTTTTAGGTTTATCAAGCTCCTTTATCAGCATCTCAAGAATCTAACAAAACTAAAGTCATTGATGAGTACTTTCAAGTAAATGGTGTTTGTCAAAGGGGTTAGTATTAAAATGCATTACTTGGGCTATCTGTGGAATTTTTGTACCACAGGCAGCCCACCAGACGGGGTACCCATGGAATTCTTACAACAGGAAACCCAACAAAATAAAAGCTTCTGAATGACAGATAATAAAATAAAGATAAAAAATAAAGTATTATTTCTTTTGTTCCCAGTAATAGTATTGATAAGAATTGGTAACATTTTCTCAAGGGAATGAATCAAGGTCTGACCTAGGAAAACAGTATCAGATAATAAGCTATTATTAATAATTTATTGATTAAAATATTACCATTTCTTTTAAAGCTAATTGCAGTGTGGATTCCTGGGATAAACACTGGTGTACGAGCACTATTGGCTTTGGCAACGATTCTCTGTCCATTGGGTTTTCATCTGTCATAAATGATCCTTGTAGATCCAGCAGTATGATGGTGAAGATTTATCGGCAAGACTCGGAAAAGAAATGGACGCTGACAGGAATTCAAAACCTCGTTGACAAGCAAACGTGTACTGTGAATCTTACAAAATCCATAGTGGTTAAAGAGGACAGAAATGTTGTGAGAAGCAGGAGGGATGTAACCATGGAGACAAGGTGGTCTGTAGTGACAATGGATGCTCACATTGACAAAATTCCTGATCTTAGTTTGAACTTTATGGTAGGACTTTTTGATTTTTTTGATAAGGAAGAATTTGATTTTTTTAAATGCAATTCAAAAAGATCATGAACTTACAAGTCTGCTTAGAAGATGTAGTGGTCATCTTGAATCCTAAGTTCTAAAATAATCTTTTTTCACAGCTCTTTTTTCAAACGACATACAATGGTGGTCATTATTTAATCTTCAATGAAAGTTACATTTATCCCAGCGGTTACTGCAACAGTCCCAAACCAGGTAATAATATTGATATAGTTCATGTTTTTAGTTCAGTGTTTCAATATCCATGTTGATAGGATCGCTATAGTTACAAAGCTGGGGATTATGGGAAGATACATTTTTACATGTTTCGAAATCTTGGTAACTATTGATTAGATGGATTTGAGATCTTTACCAGTTACTGTTTCACCTCCTGTGAGCATTCTCAAGCTGCAATATGTATCTAACAGCTTTACTTGCTAGAAATGAAATGCTTCCCATGATCCTCAGTGGTCTCAGCTTTGTAGGTTTGGAAATGAATGTCATTTCCTTGGGATAAACTAATATGTCATATCCCATTTGTCTTTGAAAGGATCCAAAACTGGTCGCAAGGTTGCAATAGGCGTGTCTGTCGTACTGGTGATGTTACTCATAATTGGCATCACAGGTGTTTTGCTGTATCGCAATCGTAAAGCATATTTTGGACACCGACCTGCACTTGTTGATGAGATAGACATTCAAGATGCTGATACACTCTGATGAACAATAAACAGGAAAAGTATTTTGTGTGTTGTAATGCGATCATAAAGCATATTTTGAACACCGACCTGCACTTGTCAATGAGATAGACATTCAAGATGCCGATACACTCTGATGAACAATAAACAAGAAAAGTATTTTGGAAGACAATTATTGGTCCGTGTAACACTCCACAAAGAGCTTTTCAATTTAGTTGGCGTGAATTGGACATATGAAACTTGCCTGATTTTTGAATTTTCATTTTTTATGATCATGTCAAAATTCGAATATTATCTCATCAATGTCAATTTTCAATTTTCGAATTCAAAAATTAAAAATTAAAATATATTTTTGAAATGACTTTTCGAAATTTTGATTTTGTTCTCTGAAAACGAACTTTGGAAAAATATCCTGTAGACAGGGGGAGGT